AAAGTTTAGATGCTTTTCAAAGGAGTGCTTATATAAACATGATCTGGAAAGTCCTGAATTGTGTGCTAAACAACCATAAAAACCACCTAAATATCAGAAAAAGTTAAGAAGGGGATAGAATACAGGATGACAAAAAGGAAGGAAGGGAGGAAAGGAGGGAAGGAGGGAGGGAGGGAAGGGAGGAAGGGAGGGAGGGAAATGCTGAAAGCAACAAATTAAATAAAAACTAAAAAACAACACTTCCCCCGCCCCGATCTAGTATCTGGATTAATTAAAAAAGAAATTCTACTGAGCTCAACTGCTGATTGAACTATCATTAGATGTGAAATGCAACCTAAATTATATTAGGTTACCTTGGGGTTCTTTTTTTCTCTCACCACAAACATGTATCCTTCATTTGTGTGGATATTTGGGCAGACTACTGAGGCTGTAAAAATCTAGATACCATTTTTGCAATATTATAATTACTTTAACACACTTCTTTCCTTACTTCTCCCTTTTCCCAATAAAAAGATCTTGGACATTTTAAACTAGTTGCTGCAATGATATCCAGTCGTTAGTACATGATCAAATCTGTAAAAAGGTTTTAAGAATACAAAGAAACTTAGTTTGTTAAAATGAGGCATCCTCTATTGTTTTATGTAATGTACCCTGACTGCTCCTGAGTAAGAACGGAGCTCGTCCTCCATGAGATAAGGCTATATCCTCACTTGTTGGTGAGACCAAATTCTACCCTTAGAAAATACCAAATAAAATTACAGCAAAGGTAGTGTTACAAAGTAATTAACCAAAGCATTTCTGAAGGTAGTGTGTGCACATTTTCCACCTCCTCTCCTACTGGGTGAGCACTAAACAGATTGCTGATTTGTTAAGTAAATTTAATAGAAGAAAATCATAAAATGTAAATTGACCTAAATAATTACATATCACTGAATAACCAGATTTTTTTAATTCAAAGGTTCATTGCTCCTAGGACTTTTTTCTTTAGTTTAATCCTTCAATTAGGTGAAATGTAGAAGAGTAACATGAATGATTTTATAAGATGGCTTTCCAATTTGTAATGATAAAGCTCCCAGTATGACAGAGGTGGTTTCTAAAAGGGGGCTTTTTTCTTTTTTTTGTTTAAATAAAGGCAAATATAACTTAAAAAAAAAAAAAAAAAAAAAAAGAAAAGAAAAGCATGCAGGCTCTACAGGCAAGGAGTCCACTTCCATGTATCTGTTCTCTGTGAGGTAACTCAATTCTCTTTTGTAGAGAAACATGCAAAAAGGCCAAACAATATCCCGAGCCATACTGCACATGAAAATTTTAAAATATGCAACATTCAGAATGCACCTTTCACCTCTGTATACACAAGTCAATGCAAATTCTGCAAAGAAACAAGTGTCACAGTGAATGAAGTTAGGTGTAAGCAATGATAGCTGAACAATGCAGTAGTGCTCACCCAGTTTGTACAGTAATTGGCACTCTACAGTATTCCTACTCATTTTTTGATTCATTTGCACTTTGTGCTGCCTCTCCCTGGGGATCTAATTCAATCTTTACAGAAACATCTGGCCCCTCCGACCTCATTAATTTCATCTTTTTCTTTGGAGGGTTTTTCAAAGTGCCCAGCCTCTCCTTTACTTTGTACTCCAGTGTACTGTGGGGAATCCCATAAATACTCTGAGCTTTGGAAACACTCATTTTTCCACTCATAACCACTGAGATTGCTTCCTCCAGTATCTCACTGTTGTACTGTCTGTAACGCCCTCTTTTCTTCCGAGGCTGCTTGGAGCCAGGGTCTCCTTCTTGATCCGATGTGGGATATGGCTGTCCAGAGGTAGACTGCTCAGCATCTGAGCCCCAAGAATCGGGTCCAGCATCTAACATGCTTTTTCTATTTTGTTTTGGAAGAATAGCCCTTAACTTTTTACTAAGCGCGCTCTCCGTTTGTGAACCCATTACCAAAGAGCTATAGCTGTACTGATCACCAGTGCGAGACTCCCAAGAAAGATCCATTCCTCGAACTTGTGGTATCTTTAAATCTACAGGCGATGCATGGCTCGCATCCTTTTTTCCATCTTGTTTTGCTTGAAGTGCCATTTTTGGAAAGGCAGAGTTTTCTGCAAGAAAAGGAAGGTCACTGATGTTGCTGAGTGCACCATTTCCCCTGAACTTCATACGGCTGAGGTTGAACTCATAATGTGGTTTTGCCCAAGAGGCTTCCCTGGATAATATTAAGTGTTGTCCATGATTCTGTAATCCAGATGGCCCAAGGCTGGCAGCTGTGGACAATTGGTTTCTGCTCAGTAGTTCTTCACTAATCTGCAGGGATCGAGCCAACGGAACTTTGAGTGATGTGGAGTGTCCAAAACCTTCCCTGGTTCCATCCTGTAAGCTTCTTGGAGGTACCCCATCACCACTCCGAAGTCCGTCCGGGCGGTACTGGCTGGGTCTCCCAGGTCGCCTAATTGGATGGAAGGAAACTGATGTGAGCAGGACTTGCACAGGTAGGGAGGGATGGGTGAGGGGACCACTCCTTTATTAGAAGGCCTTGCTTGGGTAACATCACTTTGTGTTATTTATTTATTTTTCTCTAAAATTAAAAAAAAATTGTCTCGGCAGTTAGTTTTAGAACTTGTTCACAAAAAAAGAAAAAGGAAAAAAGAAAAAAAACCAGGAGCTTTTTGGGCAAAGAAAAATTAAACCTGTCAGCTGGTCTCTGGTTGGGTTCACAAATTTTCGGAGAAAAAGTTTCGCGCAACTGTCTGAAAATAGCACCTTAATTATTAATTACAAAGTAATCATCAAGTCTCCAAAGATCTACACAGAATTGTGTTACCAATGTGACGTTACCACTAAACAAGTACAGTAATAAAAGAGTAAGCCAAATTATTTATTTTAATGCAACATATTCAACATTCATGACAACCAGCTATAAAACTGGAACCATTTACAGTGGTGGAACCCATAGATAAATGCTCATTTATCCCACAAACAAGTTGATGTTCATTATCAAAAACCAAACATGTTCAAATAACATTTCTTATTTTGCTTGGGAAAAAAAAATATGGCTACCAGCCCCAAGGGGGGGAAAACCCAAACCAAAACAAATCAAAATACCCATCACATTATAACTTACCACACTTCTTCATTTTAAAACACTATTAGTTGCAGACACGAGTACCACTAATTTTCCATTTGAAGTAATCCAATCTTTAAAGAAACTGCCCTTTATTTTCCCCAAACTTTGTTCCTTAAGTTCTACTCAAAGTAATTACTGTCAGAGGTAGGCAAGCAATTTATAGCAGTTTTCTTTAGTTAAAAGTGTCTCTTCTTAAAATATTAAGCATCAATTTTGAAATTTTAAGTGGATAGCTTTCAAATAATTTTAAAAAGTCAACTACTACTTACACAAAGTTAATTCATAAGGTTTCCATTTTCACAATAGATAAATATTATCAATGATAAAACTGGTGACTGGTAAAGCATGCCCAAGGGTAATAATTACATTTACTAGGCACAAAAGTGGAACTCTGAAGAAATAATGATAAACCAGCTATGTTCTCCAAAAGTCTACAGGGATTCTGTGCTGTTATCAGTAAATAACATAATAAAGATAACAATGAATATTCAACTAAAAGATGGGCAGTCTTATGTCTTCCAGAAAACAATACCATACAAAAAACACTTTCCATTCAGAGGGGTAAACCACAGCAACTTCAACCACATTATGCATGGAACTCGGTGGCCAAGTTTAAAGTAAATCTTAAGCAAGGGATTCATTTATGCACACCACACTTAGGATTCTTCTACATGTGTCCTTAATCACACAATTCAAGTTTTCTGATATATAAACGGAACCCAATGATTTGGGACCATAATGACTTGTATCTAATATAAACTATAGTGAAAAGAAGGGCTTAAGAAAAAAAGATTAGTCAACTATGCAAATTGTATTAAATCAGTAAGTTACTTTTAGACTGAATAGAGGAGGAGAGAAAAAAGAAAATGATGGAATTTTAGAGAAAATAAAGGCAGCATTTTAGGAGTCAGTAAAGGAATTCTTCAATTTGAAGGTAATTAAGAGTAAGTTGAAAAAGGTTAGCCCATTTAGTATGTACTTATTCCTTTAACATCTAAGTAACTTTCCTACGTTGGTACTCTGAAAGTTAAATAAACCTACATATTAACTAATTTAACTTACCAAAGTTACTTTTCATATATGAAGTTGATTTTTGGTTACAATACAATTTTATGGAAATCCTTCCCAATATGGTTATTTATTATCTTCATTAACACCTGACTTTTCTAAATGGCTTCTATGTACATGCCGAGAGAATTTAGACAATTCTTACACTATAAAATTAGGTGGTCAGAAAATTCACTTTAATTTGCTAAGAGTTATCAAAACTGAGCATGTAATAATCTCTTAGTACCATACGATGGTTATCCCAACATCTATAGTTTTAACCACTTAAAAAACAAAAAATACATACAATTATATTTTCTGAACTGCCACAGTATTAAAACTGCAGTTCAAATCAACAAATGAAACCAAACCAAACCAAATCAAACCAAAACAAACAAGAAAAAAATGAACAGTTCCCACATACCCACGCACTCCATTAGAGATACCCAGTTAAGTACTGGAGCCCAATTTTCATTCAACAACTTCAGCACACGTAATACTGCCTTACATCTGAACCCTGGAGTTATTTAGGTTGGGTTTCCCACTCTCAAACATTCAACAACAAAAAGGCCAAAGACATTCTTGCCATATTTTTATTCACTCACTACTTGAAGTGATTGGGCAAAACTCATCTACCCTAGTCAATTCTGGACTTCACAGATTGAGCTTTTACTTGAGAGATGGACCAAGTAATTTACTAAAGGCCCACTTACAAGAGTGTTACTTTGAAGACTTAATTTTTAAAACATACAATGGAGATTAGTACCAATCTTTGATAAATTGCCCCCCTATAAAACTGTGGAAGGCTACAAATATTTTCCCTTACCCGTTCCCTTGAGTACTGGAGCAGCCTGGAGAATGGCTCAGGGAAGTGCTGCCAGCACATGGACTTTTCTTAGTGGACAGATCAAGTACACCGTCTGTAGAGACACAAACAAACACCTGAGGATATTAAAACTAGGAACAAATGTGGACTGAACAGACCAAAAATGACAAAGCAACAGGCCCAGTCAACCATGCCGATACACTAGCCATATATGAAGTTATAAAGTCAATTCATTAAAGAATCAGGACTATTTTTCCTCCTACAGTGACATACATTTAGCAAAGCTTGAGCTAGTATCTCCAAGGGTTAAATATTTTATTAGTAGGGCAAAAGAAAAGGTACAGCATATTACTGAACATGTTAGGATATAGTGAGGTAACAGAAATCGCAGTTTACATTGTATTAAGTTCTGTAACAGAACTGTTAGACTCCATTTTCTAAATTCACCTTCATCAAAGCATGTGAGTTTTAATGCCACATCATACAAATTATAAAACCAAATTCCTTAAGAGCTAAGTCTACCCAAAACATTGTAAGTATATAAAAGTTGGACTTAGAAAATTTTATAACACAAATCATTTTAAAATATAAGTTTATATGGTTAAATTACATGTATATACAAAATAGTCTATAAAATGAATCAGATATTAACTGTTTATAATTTTCATGTGTCCTAATTACTGTTTAGACACATCTGCAAAAAAACTCTGTATATGGACAATCTTTTGGAAAAAATCTGCAGAAACTCTTGGTATCTATAAAAGCAAGGTTTTTCAATTAATAAGCCATTACAAACTAGTGAGCAAATTTTAGGGAAAGAAAGAAAGAAACAGTCTTGACACTGATGACAACCTAGATGTTTTAGCCTTTTTTTTTTTTTAACTGAAGCTAGACCACATAACAAATTCACACTATAAAACAAAAAAATTAGAAGACCTTCTTTTCCCACAAAGACTTTTTTCCCGAAAAGACATGTCTAAAAAGGAAAATTCATCATCTGGACAACTTTTAAAGCTGCCATTCTGTTCAAAATTAACAAAGCAAGCTAATACTCCATGCCTCTGATTTTCAGTTGGTCAACAGAGAGGACTTTCTATCCAGTTATGTTAAAAACTGCTCCAATATAGAATCTACACAGGACTTGTGTCTGAGGACACTGTCACTCCTGATTTCATGGTGTGAGAAATATATACACCAAAAATCCCACACTCATACAGAATAAGTGTTGTCCTTTAGAGTTACTAATGTTTCTAAAAATATAACTGTAATCTTATAGAACCAAGTGTCCTTTTAGACATCTTAACCCAATGAGATATCTAACAAGTAAATACACTGCTTAAAATATTTCCAACCAAAGACACTATTATTTAAGACATCCAAGTCTGTCTAATCAAACAGGCAATGTATTTTAAGTCTACTTAAATATACTAAATATACTGTGATTTCATTGGAAACATTTGAAAATTCATTTGGGAAGTATCATTTCTAAAATTTTGTTTCACTTAAAGACTATGCACTATAATCCCGTCATCTAGCTTCAATTTCTGTTGACAAGAGCGTACCATTAGTACAACATATCTCTTAAGCATAGCACCAACTAGAAGTTAACTTAGACTAGGTGTTATCTTTTTATGTTAATCTCCACCATTAATACTTTAAATACAACCTCTACACCGCCATTCTTCTCAACTGAAGTTTTTAAGGCAATATTCTGGGCAAAGAGTTTTTTAATGAAAGCTACCAATCTTTGGTAAAGATAATCTTCAACAGAAATAAAAAGCACAGAAAAGCACAATTTGGTTTTTGGTAACCGAAAGTAAAAGCACAATGACTGATGTGAACATATGACAATGAGGAATTCTACCAGGAAATCTCTCAGAATTATAAGATTGTGATTGCTATTCATTACCCATAACCAGTTTAAAAAAAAAAAACAAAACTACTAATTCAAAAATACATTCTTTAATAAACAACTAAAGCTGGTCCATTAAGTATAAATCCCTCTTAAATTACTTACAATAAGCAGAAGAAAGTCCTTGCAGAGATTTTTACAATGCATTAAACTTTTTGCAAAATGAACCTGTATTTCTCACCAATAAATCTATACATCTCATAACTTTCTGCACACTCTTAAGAGATTTCTATGACAAGGAAGTCTTATTAATAGATATCACCAACGGCAGAATTCAAATACTCATTTCATCTTCGTGAAATTAAAGGTAAAATGAGATCATAAAGCAACAAAAATATTAAATCTATTTAAGAGAGTAAACTTTTCATAAATTCAAGAAATATGTGCTAAGCAAAACTGGTAACTTCTTTTTTTTTTTTTTAAAGATTTTATTTATTTATTTGACAGAGAGAGATTACAAGTAGGCAGAGAGGCAGGCAGAGAGAGAGGGGGAAGCAGGCTCCCCTGCTGAGCAGAGAGCCCGATGTGGGGCTCGATCCCAGGACCCTGAGATCATGACCTGAGCTGAAAGCAGAGGCTTTAACCCACTGAGCCACCCAGGCACCCCAAAACTGGTAACTTCTAAACCTTTTCCCTTAATCAGGATCCTCATCAATTAAAATTACCTTTTGGAAATATTCTAAGGTTAGCTCATAATACAGCATATACACATATGGATGTGTTTGTGTATTTATAAAATACTGAATACACTGAACCACCTGGTGTGTCTAATGTCTTCCTCATTGTATCTAATCCCAGAAGTTTCTTTTTTTAAAAAATGCAAACAAGGGGGGCCTGGGTGGTTCAGCGGGTTAAAGCCTCTGCCTTCAGCTCAGGTCATGATCCCAGGGTTCTGGGATCGAGCCCAACATCCGGCTCTCTGCTCCGCGGGGAGCCTGTCTCCTCCTCTCTCTCTGCCTGCCTCTCTGCCTATTTGTGATCTCTGTCAAATAAATAAATAAAAATTAAAAAAAAAATGCAAACAATACATAGTCTCGCCTTATAATTTCATTTGCACAGTATAACTTCTGCCGAGTAAGACATACTTATTTCTCAGGTGCTAATCCTAGAACACTGATGGATGGGGGAAAACTTCATTTTTCATAGGGGTTTTAAAAACAAGGGATATGGCAAAGGTTTGGAGGCATAAAATACTCATATAAATATAAAGTAAATTAAAGATTGCAATGGGGTGCCTGGGTGGCTCAGTAGTTAAGCGTCTGCCTTCGGCTCAGGTCATGATCGCAGGGTCCTGGGATCGAGCCCCGTATCGGGCTCCCTACTCAGCAGGAAGCCTGCTTCTCCCTCTCCCACTCCCCATCTGTGTTCCCTCTCTTGCTGTGTCTCACTCTGTCAAATAAATAAATAAAATCTTAAAAAAAAAAAAAAAAAAAAAAAGATCAGCAACAACTGTAACCACCTAACTTTCCTGGGTGATACATTAATCATGACTGCAAACTATTGATACATAACGTAGCCATTTTATCTGTATTTCTTCTCTATTACTGCAGAGTCAGGAATAATTTAAGAATCACATTAGTTTTTATCCTACTATTGTTATTGGTGCCCTAATTGCCAATAATTTTTTTCTCCCCAAATTAAAGTATTCTGATTGGACAGAGGAGACCTTGACATCAAACCATACCTTGTTCGCTAGGTTCTGACTGAGACTTTCTGACAGTAAGGTCCAGAGGTGAGTCTTGGTCAGCCATGAGAAGTTTGCTGAGCACAGGGTTCTGAGTAGTTGCAGCCGTGGGAGAGGTGGTGACTGGAGATGCTTTCGGCAGGCTTTGGTTCTTTGTGCTATTGGGCTGGCTGGGGTCCTGAGTAGAGCTATTTTTTGAGGTATATTCAGCAGCAAATTGTTGGATCATTCGCTGCATGATCTCACGGGCCACTAGGGGAATATTGGGGTCGGAGACCCAGGGACTGTCTGTAAACAAAGATTTATTTACTTTTAAATTGGGACAATGTACTTAAAAAAAAAAAAAAAAAGACAGCTTTCAAGCAAACATAAAATTTCATTTTATCTTTTTTCTTATAATGCAATACCCTAAAAGTAGTATTCCCTCTCAGAATTATATTTTTAATCTCTAAACTTGAGTTCCAGATTTTTAAAAATAAAATTTTCATAAAATCATTTCTAAACACCACCCCCTCAATATTATGAAATTAAATAAAGGGACAACAAATAGTGTATCTTACGGGCAAGAATCACTTACCTGATACAGAAATCTCAAACCCTTCTTTTATGAGATAATTACCCCTCTGTTTACCACCTATAGATCATTTTTGGTTTCTCCTAGACCTTTCCTCAGCTACTTCTTCCTGAATTGTTGAAGAATGGATAATTTAGTTCATGAGTGTGTAATTTACTTTCTGTTCAAAACTGAAGGCATATCAATATTATAAAAGGAGATCCTTAATATAAGATCCATGGTAGACTGGGGCAATAGCCTCCCATTTTCAGGCTCATTAGAATCACTTTGAGGGCTTATAAAAACAGATTGCAGAACCCTATCCCCAGAGTCACTCATTCAGCAGTTCTAGGGTGAGCTCAAGGACTGGCATGTCTAGTAAGTTTTTAGATGCAACTGGTTGAGGGACCACAATTTTAGAACCCCTAGGCTAGGAGTTTAAATGCCAAATCTCAAAAGCTTAAGCCCATATATTTTCCATGAGTTCCTTAAATATACTCTACCAATCATTAAACAGAACAGCTAGTGAAATAATGAAATAAACACCTAAGTTATCAATTTCTAATCAATGTTAATTTTAAAAACATATGAATTCATTAAATCATAGAACTTTTAGCACTGGAAGGGACGAACACCTTGAAGGTCAAATAGGGGAAAAATCAAAGGGAAAATGTTTGGTATGACTATGTCATCACATCTCCACCGTTACCATACTCTCAGGGAGACTAAGCTTGTCAAGAGCAGAGATTATGTTTGTTTACCTCTGTACACTCAGCACCTAATCTTGCCTGATATAAAGAATGAATTCGTATTAGTTGAGTAATAAATGGATCAGTTCAATCAATCAATCCTCATCAGGTTTTGTTTTTCTTTAGACAAATGAAGTTAATGTTCTAAAGAATAAGTGGCCTCTTCAAATTTGTATAGATGGTTAGTGGTATAGACTCCTGATTAAAACTCTCCCCATGATCTTAATGTTCCACCTGTGACCACTACTTCCCCACCACACTTCAGAGGTTTTAGAAGACAGTTATCAGAAAACCTGAGTTTCCTTGGTCTTTTAAAGATTTAACTATAGAAGGTAAATTACTTTACCCATAATACAGCTGGAGCTGGAAGGGAATTAGGTTGCTTTATAAATTTAGAGAAATACGACTTATTACAATTAAAATCTAAAATCTCTACAGTAAACACACACACACACACACACACACACCATCAAAACCTCATGGGACTCCTAAGAACAATTTTTGTTTCCCTGAACGGTAACATTCAATACCAGAAGATAGTCTAAAATCAGAATATTTAATTCTCTGAAGTCTAATGAGGTTTGCTTTACCAACAGTAACATTTCTGTTCTACTAACAAGTATTTCTAACCCTACGTTTCTTCTCTATAGAGTATGCTACACGGTTTAATTGAGGTGTTCAATTAGGTAAAGTTCAGAAATTACTGCAACCACTGACGAGTTCCTTAAATGTTTTAATAAATATTTAGCCACACACTGTTTAAATCTCTCTATCCACTAAATATTCATATTCATATTCATTTAACTTTCCACTTACGATCCATCCTCCAAATGAAAGACTGCATATAATTTCAAGTTTTAATATATTAGTGTATCTTCCTATCCCCAGTAACACTCAAAGAACAAAGTGTCCAAATAGGAAGCAAAATGAATTTATGAGATATCTGGTCAATCAGATTCATAAATGTAATTAACAGATTTGTGAAGAGTCAAGAGATTTTAGGATAAAGACCATAAATTGCTATCTCTGAGCTTTAAATGGCTGCAGTCTGTCTTGCCTCTTTTTTGAATGAAGAAGATAATCATAAAGCACAATTCATATTCACAGATTGATGACATCTCTGGCATGTGAATTTTTACATCTTTTGAAGTTTCCTGAACACATTTCATTCCTTCACTTACTTAAAACACAACTCTATAAACCTAGATATGCCTTGAGCGACATGCACAACTGAGTCAAATAAAAACAACAAATCAAATCACAATTAAAACGAGAGGAAAACAAGTAAATGCTACATCACCAACCACCTGTGTGTTTTAAAACTGCAAATCTGGGGTGCCTGGGTGGTTCAGAGTCAGTTGATTGATCATCTGACTCTTCCTCCCCCAAGCCCACTCTTGTGTGCATGCATGTGCACACGTGCTCTCTCTCAAAATCTTAAAAATTTTAAAAATTGAAAAAACTTTCAGTAAAGTGTCAAATTTTCTAACACAAGTGACAAAGCAAGCTGAAAGAATATGACTTTAGAAGATATACTGTTCATAAGCTGGAATTTATTATAGAGTCCACACCACAAAAGCCTACTTTTATTACATCTATGTTCCTACTTAGCTTACAGTACCTTTCCATGCTCAATTATTTTAAAACAAAATTTTGGGGGTGGCCGGGTGGCTCAGTCAGTTAAGCATCCAACTTCTCATTTCAGCTCAAGTCATGATCTCATGGATCTTAAGCTGGGGATAAAGCCTGCTTAAGATGCTCTTTCTCCCTCTGTCCTTCCTCCTTCCTCCCGAGGAAAAAACAAACAAAAAACATTCATTTGCAATACTTAGTAACAACTAAATCCAAATCTCTGAACTATTTATTTAAAAAAAAAAATCCCCTTCAGACTAAATTGCCTGTCATTCTCTTCATGTTAGCACATTTTTGGTATAACCCGAAGAGTACTAATGGTCACCTTTGAGACATTTTCATGAAGATTGATATACTATCTAAAAATAACAATATTAATGCATAAAACAAGGAGGAAGGAACTTCCAATAACAAAGCAATACTCCTTTTTTCCGAGCATCATGCACCAGTATACAAATACAAAACTTTGTATACATACAATTTCAGAGGATTCTCATCTCTTAAAGTCTATCCTAAGAATGACTCTGAGGTAAAAATTCCCTCATGTGCCCCAAAATTTAATGTTTAAGTAAGAAAACTTTTAAGAACTTTAAGTTATTCCTACATGACAAAGGGATAGGACTAGCAGAGAAAGCGGCTGGAATTCTCTTTCAGAATACACTTATGATTGACTTTATTAACTCCCTGTAAGCAAAGAGTACATGAAAAGTTCTTTCTCCACGTATATTAGGGACAGGAGCTGCTCTTTTCAAATAATGAAGTTTGCTGCAGAATTAGACCCATGACTTAGTACGCATCCTAAAGTAGAGACCAACAGAGGAACTGTAAAGATGTTTTATTTTGTTAATAAAACTGACAGAACTGATCTATCATTTATACTTTAAATGTGAATTACTTTAATAAAACAATCAAATGTTTGTAAAACTAAGTCAATTACTATTTTGAACATAATTTTAGTACTCAGCATACTTTAAAGGGAAGATAAAGTGGGCATGGGAGCCTCAGTTGGGAGCTTTAGGTCAGAGGGTACTTGAGAGGATGAAAAGAGAAGTGAGGATGGAAGGGAAAAAAGTGCCACAGAAAACAAAAATCTTCACTCCTTAATTTTATATGAGGCCTGACTTCATACTCCATTTTGAAAATATTGACCACATTAAGCAGAACATCAGCTGCTCTCCAACTGTAAACAACCAATTAGAATAGCATTTATCAGACTTTAAACCAGTATACAGGGAAAAATCACCCTTGTAACTCTGGAGGGAATTCCCAGAAGAACAAGAGGTGTAAACTGGAATGTATAAATCACTGAGTCTGCTGGAAGATTAGATAAGGAATATTCAGGATTATGAGGAGTTTGTAGGAAACTTTTTTTTAGAACCTCTCATAGTAACCTCCATCTTGGAACTAGAGGAAAGAAATAACTAAGGAATACAAATCCATTCAGAGTTTCCTGAAGGTAAAGACTTCATTAGAATGGAAAATGGAGAGAAACTTTCTGAAGGTCTTAGCTAATGACAATTGTGCTTTGTGGGCAGAGAAAAGAGATGTAAAACCTGTCTACAATAATTTCAAGGAGAAAGAAAAATGGAAAAATCTAAGAGATGGAGGTATTACATACCATCTTATATGGGGTATAAGTTTTACTATGTAATAATGAGTTTATTTCTCCAATTTTAATAATTCAATGAAATTTTAGTGAAACAAAAATGTACCAAGGAAAAGATGCTTGCAAATCTAATTTTAAGATATAACTTCACATCTTTTTTCCAAATGAATTTCATTCAGGAATTACTAAAATTTTATACAGTTGGTTTTATGGTTATTTGTGATTAAAATTATAACCATGTAAGAATATTTGTCTGGGGGCACCTGGGTGGCTCAGTGGGTTAAAGCCTCTGCCTTCGGCTCGGGTCATGACCTCGGGGGGTCCTGGGATGGAGCCCCACATCGGGCTCTCTGCTCAGCGGGGAGCCTGCTTCCTCCTCTCTGCCTCTCTGCCTACTTTGATCTCTGTCTGTCAAAAAAAATAAATAAAATCTTAAAAAAAAAAAAAGAATATTTGTCTGATAAAATACTGTACTCCTGAAACCTTAGAATATTCAGATGTTCATAATACTTTCGGGAACTATTTAACTAACAAAAACTTATATGACACCATCACTTCAGAATGAAAATGAGGGAGAGGGGCTGCCTTACCTATTCCAAATTTAACTTGACCAAAGGAATATGAAGTGTATATCAGCAATAAAGAAAAATGTTTTAAAGTGACTTTTTAAAAATGACATTAAAATTAAGGAAATTAATATAAGACAAGCAGATACTAAATGTCATTCGTCACTAGAACCAACCTTTTCTATAAAAGACTGCATTGAGGAACTCTTCTGCTTGTCTCTCGAATCGAATGATTTTTGCTTGCTCTTGTTTAAGCAGAGCTTCTTGCCCAGCTCCCGAAGCTGGTTCATCCAGACCGACTAAGTGTCCCTGTAAAAATATTTGGTGAAATATTTGCAGAGAAATCTTTCCCCATTCAATATCAAAAGCACAGATGCAAAATCAAAGACAAATGTTAGTAACAGATAAGACAAATCAGTTTAATACAATTAAAATATTTTAAAAACTTCAAATCAGAATAAAACTTATCTCTACAAAAATATAAAAGCAAAATGAATGTAAAAATACACTTTGGTGGTTTTTATTTATTTTATGAATTGTTTAGAATTTACAGATAAACTCTAATACTACTAAAGGAAAATTTTTCTTGAGCATTCAAATATATCAGTTCTTATTATACTACATAGCAATAGTTCACACACAATTCAACTCAGATAAAAAGATACCTTAAACCCTAAATATTATTTGAGAATCATGTTATTTCTCCAAGTTCAAGATGTTTTTTCCAGACACAAAACATTTTTAAAAGAGCCATAAGAAGGGAAAACTCAAAGAAAAAGTTATCTAAATTTATAATTCTGTCCTTAGAATACTATTTCATAAACTACAGCTTTCAAATATTTAGAGTTGTGAAATTAATAGGTTAAAACTGGCTCTAGAAAAAATAATTCAAAAATAAGAGTACACTACATGTTCTAAAGGTAAACATTTCTATTTATGCTTAAAAATGTTTACAATATAAAAATTTAAGTCCTGATCACAAAGTTTCAAAATGCTGAACTAGACTCATCCCAAACATTCCCAGAATCTGTTCTCAGGCTGCAGGAGCACTAGACTAGGTTATTAATCCTTTGCACTTATTTTCACTCTTGTAGCTAATAAATAGGGAACTATGATAACAGAAAATAAAAGTGTAAAGAAAAGCAAAGTACATGTTTTAAGTGTTCCTTAAGTTCCAGCATATGTAAGTTATTGCAATGTATCACCATGTGCATTTACTTATGTCATGGAAAACTAAAAGTACTCTAAATAAGAAAATAAGGACATGCCTTGACACAATGAAAAGTAAGTAGTAAGCAAGACACTGAAGACTATTATAATTCACAGTTTTCTTAAAGATTTCAAATACACCCAATGATATTTGAAACCAGCTTTTTATGATTCCCCCAACATCCAAACTGTGTTGACACCACATTTAGCATCAATTATACATTACAAATAGTTTCATATAAAGAACTCTCTTGCATAATCAAACTAAAATCATCCCACATAATTTCTGTATTAGACATAGTAAGTCTGCCACATAACGAAAATATTGTTATAAATCATTATAAAAACGTTTATTGTTTTATTTGCCAACATTCTCTTTTTATTAACTTTTGAAAATGAATCACAAAATAATGTGACTTTGATACAGATTTAACATCTAAAAGGTATTAGGAATAGGTATTAAAGAGTCCAATAAAATCCTCAATTGCATTACACTTTAATGCCATTTCATTGTTTAGTGATTTTTAAAACGAGACATTACATGGCATGAACTGTACTTAACTCCTTAGTCCTGCATTCAGTGTTCAGTTAGACCTTGAGCAGAATATCTATGTTTATTTTTCATGTTTAGAACACTTGTATCTTAGAAAAGATGTTAGTTGAAGGATGAATTGTACACAGGGTAGTTCCAGTGAGTGATTCTACATACATGTTTACAAAAATGTGTATTTTTCCCCCAAGTTTTAATTTAAATTCCTTCTCGTTAATATACAGTGTAATATTCGTTTCAGGTGTAGAATTTAGTGATTCAACACTTACAAACACCACCTGGTGCTCATCAAAAAATATGGAACACCTCATGAATCTGTGTGTCACCCGTACACAGGGGCATGCTAATCTTCTCTGTATTGTTCCAATTTTAGTGTATGTGCTGCCCAAGCGAGCACAGAATATCTACATTTCAACCATGTTTAATGTTGCATTCAGGCTACTGTCTTATTTAAATCAACTCACAGCAACTAAGAGCACTCAGTAAAGGAGGTGCTACCTGTTTTTTCTTCAATTAAACAGTTTTAACCAATTTAATCAACCTGGACACTGAAACATATAGATAACTTTCAACTGGTTCACATTAATTAGTCACACCTATTTGTTTTGTTTTTTAATGGTTTTACTGAGATATAATGCACATACCATACGATTCACCCATTTTTAGTGTAAAATTAAATGGTTTTTTTGGTAGGTTCACAGAGGTGTGGGACCATCACCATAATAAATTTTAGAACACTTCTGTACCCCAGAAGTAAACCCATAAATTAACAGCTACTCCCCATTCTCCCATTTGCCCAACCCTGGGCAACCACTTTATTACTTTTTGTTTCTACAGACCTGCTTATTCTAGGCATTTCATATAAATGGAATTGGGCAATATCCGTGTGTGTGTGTGTGTGTGTGTGTGTGTGTGTGTGTGTGTGTGACACTTCTTCCTCCTGGAATGTTTTCAAGGTTCACCACGTTGTAGCATGTACCAGTACTTCTTTCCTTTCTAGCTCCAAACAATATCCCATTGTATGGAGATAGCCCGTTTTACCCAATCATCAGTTGAGGACCATTTGGGTTTCTACTTTTTGGCTATTATGATATAAATAACACTGCCTTTAATATTTGTGAGCAAGTTTTTGTATGGATGTATATTTTCATTTCTCTTGGATATATATTTCAGAGCGGAATTTCTGGATGTCTTAATTATGTTTACCATCCTGAGGAAGTTAAAAAAAAAAAAAAAACTATCTTCCAAAGCAGGTACACCATTTCATATTCTCAACAGCAATGAGGGTTCTGACTTCTCCACCTACTCATGAACACTTGTTATCTTTTCATTACATCTATTCTAGTACACAAGAAGTGGTGTCTCATGGTTCAGATTTATTTCCCGAATGACTACTGATGTTGAACATCTAACTGCATTTAAATACCTTCTTTGGAGAAATGTCTATTCATATGTTTTGCCCAGTGTTTAATTGGGCTATCTACCTTTTTAATGTTGAGTTTTAAGACTTCTTTATATTCTGGATATAAAATCCATTATCAGATGTAAGATTTGCAAATATTTCCTGCCATCAGTGAACTTATCATTTCATTGATGCTACTAACCGTCAGCAGTATAAAAGCTAAAAAAATTTTTTTAAGGATCGATTTAATTAATTAATTATAGAGAGCACAAGCAGGGGAGCAGCAGGGAGAGGGAGGGGGAGAAACAGGGAGCCTGATGTCGGACATGATCCCAGCACCCTGGGATCATGACCTAAGCTGAAGGCAGATGCTTAACTAAGCCACTCAGGCACCCCCAAAATTATTTAATTTTAATACATTTCAATTTATCTTTTTTTTTTTTTTTTTGTCATTTGTGCTTTGGTATTGTATCTAAAAAACTGGTGGCTAACCCAAGGTCATGAAGATTTACTCTTACGTTTTCTTCTAAATGTTATATAGTTTTAGAACTTACTTTTAGGTATATGATCCATTTCAAGTAAACTTTTGTGTATGGTATTAGAAGAGGTCCAAATTCTTTTGTCAAGAATCACTAGCCGTGGGTGCCTGGGTGGCTCAGTTGGTTACGTGTCTGCCTTTGGCTCAGGTCATGATCCCAAGGTCCTGGGATCGAGTCTCACATTGGTCTCCCTGCTCAGCTGGCAGTCTGCTTCTCCGTCTCCCCCTGCCTCTCTCTCCTGCTTATACTCTTTCTCACTCACTCCCTAAGAAATAAAACATCTTTGAAAAGAAATGAATTACTAGCCATAAATCTTACTTCTGGATACCCAATTCTATTCTACTGATTTACATTTCCCATCTGTAAGCCAGTAATACAGTACATTGATCACAGTAGTTTTGTAGACAGTTTTGAAACTGGGAAGTGTAAGTCCTCTCTTCTTTTAGAAGACTGCTTTGGCTCATCATGCATCTCTTGAATTTCCGTTTGAATTTTAAGATCAATTTCTCAATTTCTGCAAAGGCAGCAGCAGAGGTCTTGACAGAGAATACAACGAATCTACAAGCTATTCTGGAAAGCAATGCTATCTTTTTAACATTAAGTGTGTTCCAATTCATGAACATTGAGAGATCTTTCAGTTTATTCAGACCTTCTTTATTTCAACATTTTTTAAAATTTACGATGTACAAGTCTTAAACATCTTAAAATTATTCTTAAGTGGGGCACCTGGGTGGCTCAGTGGGTTAAGCCTCTGCCTTCGGCTTAGGTCATGATCTCAAGGTCCTAGGATCAAGCCCTGCATTGGGCTCTCTGCTCAGCGGGGAGCCTGCTCCCCAACCCCCCCACCCCCGCCCACCTCTCTGCCTACTTGTGATGTCAAATAAATAAAATCTTAAAAAATTATTCTTAAGTGTTTTATTCTTTTGGATGCTACTGTAAATGGAACTGTTTTAATTTTCACGTTCAGATTGTTCATTGCTATTTGTCTAGAAATATCACCATTTTTTTAATGCTGTATTCTACAACCTTGCTGAACTTACTAACTCTAATAGTGTTCTGTAGATTCTTTAGAATAAAGTCAAGCTAAGGAATTTCACTTCTATTCCTAGTTTGTTGCATGTTTTTATCAGGAAAAGGTGCTGAATCTGGTCACTTTTGGGGGGGCATCCACTGTAATGATCATATGATTCCTATCACTTATCCCATTAATGTGCACTGTACTACATTAATTGATTTTGTGATGTAAACCAACCTTGCATTCCTGAGATAAATCTCACCTGGTAAGGGTGTATAACAGTTTTCATATGTTCCTTGATTTGGTTTGCTAATATTTTGCTGAGAATTTTTTTGGTGTTGTTGGTATAAATAAGCGATACTCATCTGACGTGTTCTTTTCTTGTGACTTCTCTGTCTGGTTTTGGTATTCAAATAATACTGGCCTCATAAAATAAGTAAGTCTTCCTCTATATTTTAGATAAGTCTGTGAAGAACTGGTATTAATTCTTTAGAAATATCTGAAAGAAATCACCAGTGAAGATATCTGGCCATGGGCTTTTCTTTGATCAAAGTTTTAAAATTATAAATTTGATCCCTTTACTTGTTCTAGGTT